CCCCCCCACCTAAGAAAGGGTGCTGCCTCATCTCACCCACAAGCCACTGGGCAAACACCTGAGTTCTCCACAGCCACCCAGACCTCATCGAGTCACAGATTCTCACCCGTCCAATGTCACTGCACTCCTGTGCTAGCCCTCAGATATCTACAGGATGGGGCGGTAGGCACAGAGCTGGAGGAGGGGAAGGCACGGAGGCAAATGAACACGCCGTGTCACAACACGGTACGCACAAAGTTGGGAGTGAGTGGGAAGACTGGGGGCCCGGCACCCACTCTGAGCTGGGAACGCCTGGGGGAGGGCCCCTGGCAGAGGGGGCCACCGGCACAAGCCTGCAAATAGAGAGAGGAGTACCTGCCTGCCGTCCCGTTCAGCGGGAGCCCCCTCAGCGGCAAGAGTCGGCTCTTGGCCAAAGACAACTGTCCCAAGGGGACGGGAGGCCGGCAGGCCTTGCATCTCCTTTAATCTCCGCTCAGAACTGCAGGACCTAAACGCACACCGGTCACGTCCCGTGATGCCGCCCCCCGCCCCCCCCAAGCTGAGCCAGCCCAGCACACCCTTCACACTAAATCTGGTGGGTTTGCTAACACACAGAGCAGGTGGCCAAAGCCTGACACACCCAGAGTCATCACAGACTGAGCTCCCAAACAAAGGCCACATCAGTTGTGGCCACACTACTTGGCAGGTGGGTTCACAGACGGGAGGCTGGCACCCCGTCTCCTGCAGAATGAGTGTTTTTTTTTTTTTATCAGCAAGGTGCCTGTGGACCGACCTGGCCCACACCTGGCCGACCCACTAAGGGAGGACCCAGTTGGCAGCTGGGGCAGCTCTGAAGCATGGCCTCTCGGGGTAAACAACCCCAGCTCTGCTTCCGAATGCCTGTGCACCCCTGCCTCCGGGCCACGTCCGGCCGGGCCAGGGTCATCAGAAGCAGCACACGAGAAGCAAGGGCAGAAGGTCAGCAAAGCCACCGGCTGGGAGTCCCTGTGGCGCAGCCCCGTGCAGCCGGCCTCACCGACTCGTCACACAGGAGCATCAGGATCTTTCTGGTCGTTTTCATGGAAACTTGCTTTGGCAGGTCGAGGTAAGACTCTGTTTCTGAGGTGACCTCCTCCATCCCCTCCTCTTCTGCAGGCGGGGCAGAGAGAAGAGAGGGTGGGAGAGAAAAAGAAGATAACTGCTTGGCCTTGTTGACTTTGAGAAACAGCCGAACGTCCTTCCTTGAGAAAATTTACCTCTTAAAAAGCCGAAGGAAGCCTGGTGTGTGGGGAAAAACAGGAAGGCTGGGGATTGGAATAAGAGACTAGCCGGAGAATTCTGCCATTCTATAACCCTTCACTTTCCTAAGTTTCATCGACCTGGAAACATCATACTCAAAACCCGGCCGTGACCAGGGAGTGGAAGGGAGAGGATGAACCTATTTATAGGTTTTACTAGTTTGCTCAAAAGATAAAATGAGATAAGATAAATGAAAATAGTTTGAAAAGTACAAGATGCCAACTTGCTGGTGGAACTACAAAATGGCGCCATCCGTATGGAACAACACCCAGTAACGTCACAGAGGCATTTGCCCTTTGATCCAGCAGTCCTGCTTTTAAGGGGCTAGCCCAACAATTCACCAGGAAACACATGCAAACACAAATGCACACAGATATTTATCGCTGCATTGTTCACAACAGCACAAACAAGCAGACAAAAACCTGGCAGTATCCCAAGTGGCCACCAACAGAACACTATTGGGATAAGTCATAGCACGACCACACGACACCATACCAAATAAAAATGGAGGAAAGAATGTTTCTTCTCACTACCATAAACTGATCTTCTCCAAGATATTTTGTAAGTGAAAAAAGCAAGACGGAGAAAAGCGTCATTTAAAAAGTGGGTCTACGTGGGGCGCCTGGGTGGCTCAGTTGGTGGAGCGTCCGACTTCGGCTCAGGCCATGAATCTCATGGTTCGTGGGTTCAAGTCCCGCGTTGGGCTCTGTGCTGACAGCTTGGAGACTGGAGCCTGCTTCGGATTCTGTCTCCCTCTCTCCTGCCCCTCCCCCACTCACACTCTGTCTCTCAAAAATAAATAAATGTTAAAAAAAATTTTTTTAAAGTGGGTCTACATAAATATAAACAAATATATATACATACATACATACATACATACATACATATACATATTTGTTTTAAAAAGCAACGGAAAGAGAAACCATACATTTTTAGATAACTACCTATAGGTGAGGGATAAAATAGAAGAGAGAGGATAAAACTTCTTTGAGTATACCTTGTTCTGTACATTTGACTTTGGAAACATGTCAGTATTCTACATAACTATAAAACAAAATTAAGTTGTAAAAAGCAATCCCTAATTATCAAAAGTAAAACAAAACAAAAGGACCTAAATATGTATTCAGATGGTGACCTAACCAAATAGAAACTATTCAAAGTGACTTCAAGAGACAGCCATCTGTGGGGCACCTGGGTGTGCCAGAGGGACCCGCAAGCCAACACGAAGAGACTCCCACTGGCCGAAAATGGGACAATTTGGGCACCAGTAAGGGAAACTAAGTGCAATAAACCAAAACACATCAGATGTGTTTAAATCCAATCTGTTCGTAATGATACTCGCTTTAGAAAATGCCATTGGTCACTCTTGGAAGATGCTAGAGACCCAACCCATTTATTCTGAAAGCTACTAAATAGAGAAAGGACAAGCATCTATTCTGCTTTTCCTGTATGAACTGTACCTCGGGGTAGCAAATAGCTGATGAGGAGAAGAGTCTCTTTTCAGAAGTATTCCAGCTAATAAATGAAGACATCTGATAGAATTTAGAGTGTCACCGTTTTGCAACCCCTAAGGCCATTAATGGATCTTAGACAAGGACTCCCAATGGTTGCTAGCCTCGCAAAGAGACACCCTGATGTTAGTTTATCCCAATGGAAGCATGCCACAGTGTACTTAGCAAAACTACACTGACCCTGAACCTGATCAAGCTTCTAGATAGAACTACCAGATTATAATGGAGGGAAGAGGGTAAAGCTATAGGTTAAATTAGAGACTCTGAACCTCCCAGCTACGAGACCTCTTCTCCCCCTTCTCTGGCCTTCAGTTGGCTTGTCTGTGAGATGAATGTGTTGACCCTACAGTTTTACGGGCCCCCCAGCTCCAGGACTCCATTCCAGATACCTGTTTGAATCAGCACTTCTTCTAATATCTGTGTAGCAGACCTCTGCTGCTGCTGAGATATAGGTCCCACGTTCCTCAGGAACCAGAAATCAGGTGCGGTCCAGGGGAGCCCCAGATGCTGGGTGTGGATGATCCTGTCCACATCAAAGGCTTTGCTTATCAGATCCTTTGCCTCTTCTTCATTCATCAGCCAAATCTCTCGAAACCGCTTGTCATCAAGAAGAGCAAAATGCCTGGGAAGGAGAGTTGCTCAGCGGACCCCGGGGCCTGGCCAGGGTGCCCTCCATTAGCAGTAGGGCGAGATGTGCAACAGTGGGGCAGCGCCGGTGTGCAACCCAGGCCCGGGGCCGCCGGGCCTCACCCATGATAGCCTGGAGGCCATCCCCACAAGTCTCAAGAGAAGGCGGGTGACAAGCCAGTACAGGGGGCGGAGAAGACAGCCCGCTAAGACTCTTAGTGCCTGGGCCCACCTCTGTTCTAGGGCACGTGCCGTGGGAGCCAGGTCCCCAAGATACCTCATGGCTTTCTGTAGCTCCTTGAACTGCGTCACAAGGCGTATGTAGTCGGAGGTTAGTGACTGGTTCTCCTCCTCAAACTGTCTGATCTGCCTGGTGTATTTTGATCTCAGGTTGTTAAGTATATCATGTAGGCTGGGAGGAAGGGGAGAGAAGTTCATCTGTAGCTGAACAGAAGCCGTGACGTACGTTCCCCTCAGCTGCTTCACACGGTTCTACAGAACCCAGGGTCAGGTTAGCGCAAGCGCCGAAGATCCTCCCATTTGTTCCAAAACCCAGCTGCCCTGATTGCGATCAAAGAAAGGAAGGCAGCAGGAGGTGAGGGGATTGTCCAGAACTAAACTCATTTAGAACAGTCCAGAAGCCCAGACCCACTGAGGGGCAGTCTCCTGCTCAGGAGTGTGACTGAATCCTTCACAACACGCCATCTGGGAGTGTGTCCACATCCTCAACTTCACAGTATTCAACAGCGTATCTCAACTATTTCACTGCCATGATTTGGATGTTCATTTCACTTCTAAAACAAGAAAACTAGAAAGGAAATAAATTAAAACCTCACGGCACAAGTCTATGATATATGAGTTCTCCATCCTCAAAAAGCTGACACAGGTCACAAGCCCAATAACTCATTCATTCATTCATTCATTCATTCATTCATTCACTTGAAAGGTCTCTCGCACGCCAAGGATCTGTTTGAATCCAAAAGATGAATACAAGGCATATGTTTGGACAAAAGGCACTATCGGTTCAGCCAGAAACAAAGAAAAACAAACACTCGTCGCAGTGGAGTGAAAGCACCGTGGGGGTGGTTTACACAGGATGCCAGGGGAGCCCAGAGGTGAGGCAGGGAACTTATCCCGGCCTGGAGGCAAGGGGAGTGGTCGAAGGTTCCAGCACGGAGAGAGACAGTGACAGCCTGGTCAAGGGCACCGGGAGTCCGGGCATGCCACGGGTCCACATCTCACTGCTCTGGGAGCGCTGTGCGTGGAGACTCGTCTCGTGAAATATGCGTGGCAGGCATGGCTTTTAGACCCAGGACCGTACTTCAGACTTTAGACCAGTGCACAGGTGTCTGATGTCAGCGTCCCATTTACACGGGCATAGAGAGTCTGAAGGCCTACATGTTTTCAGTTTAAAAATTCTAAAAATAAGGTTTTCTCTCTTAAGCACCATTCTGAAAGAATCATAAGCTCCCTAAACACACAAACACCCATCCTTCGTGTTTTTATCCTTAATAAAATGCAAAAACAACTTAACTTGGACTGATAAAAAGCAGCATGTAGGGGCGCCTGGGTGGCTCAGTTGGTTGAGCCTCCGACCTCGGCTCATCATGATCTCGAGGTTTGTGGGTTCGAGCCCCATGTCGGGCTCCGTGCTGACAGCTCAGAGCCTGGAGCCTTCTTCAAATTCTGTGTCTCCCTCTCTCCGTGCCCCTCCCCTGCTCAGGCTCTGTCTCTCAAAAATAAATAAACATTACAAAAAATTTTTTTAGGGGCGCCTGGGTGGCGCAGTCGGTTGAGCGTCCGACTTCAGCCAGGTCACGATCTCGCGGTCCGTGAGTTCGAGCCCCGCGTCAGGCTCTGGGCTGATGGCTCAGAGCCTGGAGCCTGTTTCCGATTCTGTGTCTCCCTCTCTCTCTGCCCCTCCCCCGTTCATGCTCTGTCTCTCTCTGTCGCAAAAATAAATAAACGTTGAAAAAAAAATTTTTTTTTAAAAAATTTTTTTAAAAAAAAGCAATATCTAGTTCATTTTCTTAACTACGGCATTCTAGGAGACAATCCACATATAGGTGTAAAAAAAAAATGTTTTTAGGTAGCCATCCCAAAGTCTTTTTCCCAATGTCACCCGGTAAAGGAGCGCCTATGTGTCATCTAACCACAGAAGCTAATAAAACCAAAACATAACTCCAGGTGCATGCTGCAGGTCTGGGCAGGACAGGGGACAGACAGGAACAGGTGGCCGCAAGGGGGAAGGAGCTCAAGAAAACATCACACACCGTCCTTAGTGACTGGCTGGCAGCTAGAGATGAAGGGGGCAGGGGTGGAGGAGGGGGAAGCCGCGAAGGTAGGCAAACTTGGTTTCAAAACTTGTCCACTGGCCTTGACAGCAACTGTCCAAGCTGCAATGTCTCCTGGAAGTCCCAGACAAAGCGAGGAGGTGGGGTCGGGACTGGGGAGATGAGCTGGAGTCATCGAGAAAGAAGCCCTACTCAAAGCCATGAGACTAGTGTAGAGGGTGGATGGGATACAACCAGAAAGCAAAAGGGGGGAGATGCTTTCTGGAATATTCTATCAGGCAAGAAAACGCAGAACCACCAAAGGAAGCCAATTAGGAATCCGCTGAGAAAGAAGAGTAGGTATTTTAGAGTCATAAAAGCCAAAGCAGAAAAATTCGGAGATTCGGTACCAACAACAATCGGATGAGGCCTGACCGGCAGCAGCAGGGTCTGCCGATAAGGGAGACGCCAGCTCAAAGTCAGAGGACGGAGCCAGGGAAGGGAGGGTGGGGATGATGCCACTCGTCCTTCTGCCCTTCGGATCAAAACCAAGGTTTGCCTCACGTACCTCGGCCCACCTCCCGTCCTACCAACCTCCCCTCTCCCAGGATGCAGGCTCTTCCTGCCTCCTGCTTCCTTGCCTTCAGACCTTCATTCCTGGCTCTCGCACCGCCAACCCCAGAGGCTTAACTCCTCTTTCCCAATTCGCATCCCTCCCCCCTTCCCTGTTTCACTTCTTCTGGAATCCTTCCGAGGGAACTCCTTCTCACTGACTGTACAGAAGTGTGGCCATCACAGATGGATGGAGAGAGGGCGAGAGAGGGCGAGGGAGAGGAGAGATACAGAAAGATACACACTACACACTTAATCCCTGGCGGTAGGAATATGGCGTTTTTTACGTTTTATCTTCCTTTCACTTGGGGTACTTCCTAACTCTCTAAAATGCACATGTACCACTTCTGTAATAACAAGTTGAGAATGTATTCTACAGACAGCTCTGTGCGTATGCAACGTGAGACAGCGACACGAGTACCTACGTCGGTATTATTTGCGATAGCGAAGGATTAGAAGCAATCTAAACGTCCATCCACGGGGACATTAAGTCACAGTATATGCAAGTGGAGGTTAGGCAACCTAAGAAATAACGTGAAAACTCTTTACGAATCGGTATGGAAACACCGTCGGGATATAAAACGGCGTGTACGGAAGGCTATCATTTGGCTTAAAAACAGAGGGGGGGTGGTGAGAGGATTTGTGCTGGTATGTGGTTCAAGAAATTCTGGAAGAAACAAAAGAAATGAATAATGATTACAGAGGTGGGAAAGAGGGACCACACAAAATGGGGGATCAGAGACAGACTTGCTGCACATTCTTTCCGGAGGGTCGGGGGGGAGGCCGCTGCAAGTATTACCTTTTGCAAAAAGAACTCTTTTAATGAAGAATTAGCTAAGTTTTTAACAGCTTCCGCTCCTCCGGAAGGGAAGGCTTCATCCCCAACCCCGTTTTCAGCATGGAAGGGTCGATGGTCTGCGGGCTAGCTCACCGACTGATCTTCCTCTTCTGCTGGGATTTGATCACCACACTCTCTTCGTCTCTCTTCTTCAGCACTTGGAAGTTGTACTCCAACTTCTCTTGGTTTAGCTGGTAGGTTGCTTTCATCTGCTGAAGCTGTTGCTCAAGAATCTAAAGGTTAAAAAACAATAATAATATGGACTGGCCCTGGTATCATTTGCCATGCCCGGGGGTCCCTGATACTTGATTCTGGAGTCATGTCAGATGACACAGAGGCACAGGTGTCTCCACCTGAATTCTTAGAAAATCTGTCAGTAGAGGCAAATGAAAGGCCAGCCAGAAAAAAATACATCATTCGGCTGCGAGCTCAAGCCTATGTCCCTAAAGCCTAAGAGAGGGGACAGACCCTTCAAGCGTGGCCCCCTCCGTTGCTCTGCACCAGAGCCTCTGGAGATACACGGCGCCCCACTGAAAACACCATACAATATTGCCACAGACTCTTGCAACGTCCCACTCGGACCTTCAATTGGCAGTGTTAGTGTTTAGCAAATGGTGTTCATTTTAAAGGAGGACAGACACAACCATTCCTTCTTTCTGGATTTCTGTTAGCTATGTTCATTCATTCAGCAAATATTTCAGTGCCTGATAAATGTCGACACTTCTCCAGGTGCTGCTGAGGAAACGCTGGTGGAAAAGGCACAGTCTAGCCCTCGCTAGGAGATATTAACAAGCGGTGGGGACAAGAAGTAAGAGGTGGGGTAGGCGCAGGGCGGCATGTGACTCTCTGTGGCCTCGAAGGCCAGGCAGGCATCCCTGAACAGTTGGCATGAGCGTGTCTGACCGAGACCCAGAAAACGAGCGGGAGTGATTCAGGTGGCTACTCGAAGGGACACTTACTCCAGAGAGGCAATGGGCGTGAGGTGCTTTGGGGAAATCACGAGCAAAGTAGGGTGTGAGGTACGAGGCTGGGAACGGTCAGAAAAGAGGCTGACAGAGCAGCAGGGCCCTATCAAGTGAGGACTTAAAGCTTTATCCTGAGAACCATGGAGGGCCACGAAAGATCTCAAGCAGGAAAGGGCAGTGACCAGTCCGGGCAGTATAGAAAGATCACTTTGACAGTTGGTTAAAAACAAAAACAAAACCAAACAAACAAAAACTGCTGAGAGCAGGGCAAGGCTAGAGGCAGGGCAAAACCAGGCAAGCTCGGTCCTGCCTCTCCAAGTGGAAATGCAGGAACAGAGGGTGCAATTAAGCGTAATCAGATCTTGGCAAAGCAGGGACATGTGACATGTGGCGCTCTTTCAAGCCTCCTTCTCCCTCATCTGCCTCCACAGGGCTACAGAGCCTTGCCAAGGAATCAACATAGCAAGTGATTGGAGCGCCTGGGTGGTTCAGTCAGTTAAGCATCTCACTCGTGATTTCGGCTCAGGTCATGATCTCACGGTTGTGAGATGGACCCCCACGTCGGGCTTTGCACTGAGCGCGGAGCCTGCTTGGGACTCTCTCTCTCCCTCTCTCTTTGCTCCTTCCCTGCTTGCCCTCTCTGCCTCTCTAAATAAATAACGTTTTAAAAAACCACATAGGAGTGGTTCCAGGCAGCTCCCCCTAGACCCCTGGGTCATCCTCAAGGAAAGTAACTGGCTAGGAGGTGATGCAGAGAACAAAAGCACCGACACTGATCCCCTGTTGTAAACGAGAGAATGAATCCAGAATACCCAAATATCTACCTAGCCCAGGGAGTTCTAAATCTCCGTTATGGGGCAGGCATTTGGATGTCTTTTCAGAACAGAAGCCTGCGATACCTATCACAGGTGGCCAATGAACATACAGGTCGCCGGGATTATAACTAACTGTACCTCTCAATTTCCATACTGGCTTAGTCGACTTTTTAGTTACTTTCTTCTAATTATACGCTTTTCTGTATAAAAAGTTTTCCTGCTTGTGAAAGTAATATTTGCTCGTTGTAGAAAATGTGGAAAGTACAGTAAAGGAGAAAGAAGGAGAAGACACAGAAGGGGAAGAAAAATTACCCAAATTCCATCTCAAAGAGGCATCTTCTGTTAACATATCGGCATGTTTCTTTCCAGTGTTCTTTACATAGCTGAGATGAAACCATAGCTACAATTTTATATGCTATTTTTCTCCCTTAATATTGTAACGAGAATTTTCCATGTTAGTTTTGGCGATGTTATTTTAATGGTGCGTAATATTTTTATATACTATAGTATATTTTTATATACTATAATATTTTATATACTATATATATACAATTTATCATATATAAAATACTTGCAATATTTATCATATGCCATACTATTTTACCATTTCCCTACTGTTGTACATTTACATTGTTTTGATAATTCTTGATATTATAAAAATAATGCTGGGACCAATTCTATTTAAAACTTTTGGGGTATTTCGTTTATTTTCTTAAGGTAGATTCTCAGAGGTAGAATTACTAGGTCAAAGGCTGTCAACAAATTGCTTTCCAAAAAGCGGTCTACAGTTTCCACTCCCACTGGCCCAGCGTGCAAGCGCCCGCTTTCGCACACCCCGTGGGCACGGAGCACGGTGAGGGGCCGGCCGTGAAGCTCCAAGCACAGGCCCTCAGCCCTCAGGTAGGGCGTGGACTTGAACAATTTCCCGAAGTGGCGAATATGCCGACAGTACAGAAACTGCCTCATTTCGAGCGTGATTGTCCTGGGTGGTCCCAGGCTGAATCACTCTTGGCCTTGTCCCCTTCTAGGGATGGGCCTGCGTGTGTTCAAGGGAAAGGGAATCCCTTCCTGCAAACTCGCAATGATTTATGCCCCCGTGCACCAAATGAAAACAGTGCCACTGCTTTAAATGTGGTCAGCCCTGAACACCGGGAGGCCACTGACCTGTGAGTTGGCTCAGGACAAAGTCCAATAGAAAAGCTTCTTGTTGGGTGGAGACAATCTGGGAAGGTACGAACACCCACAGAGAAGGAAGGTCTCCAGAGCTGCTCTGACTTGGAATGACAATGAGTGGCGACTGATGCATCAGGGACCCTGAGACCCAGGGTGAGAGAGACCCTGGTGTTTCCTCTGGTGACGTCCAGGGACCTCTTTTTTTTCTTGCAGCTTTGCAATAAGCCCCTGTCACTATCACACATTTCCCAAAGGGATCTGGCCATGGAACAGTTTTTGTGCTTGTAGCAAAGTGAGAGCACGCGAGTTACAAATACAAGCTCCATCACGTGAACGTTCGTGTAAATTCCACTCTTGCAGGCAGATTGTTAGATAACACCATGAAAATGGACTCTGTAGTTTTCCCACATAATACATCTTGAAAGGACAAAAAGAAAAGCACCGGCTCACTTTCTTTGTTCGTTTTATGAAACTACCACCAGTACCTCACGTAGCCGAACGCAGTTCAGAGTTCAAAACTCTGAACTGAAGTAGTCAGGCCACGTCTTTTCCGTCGTGGCCTGAAAGAACTCACTTCTGATCCGATCTTATAGGCAAAACAACACACGAAGAAGCCCTGTCACCTGACTGTGTTAATTTGCATGTCTCTGCCTGAGCCTGTGGTTAAATATTTATTAGCTTTCCCTTGTGGAACACATCAACTCCTGCTCTTCGCTAGACTATGTCCCCAGGAGACCGGTGCCTAAAAGGACTAGCAATGCAACATGCACTATGAGATCTCGACCGGATCACAGATCAGCCCCTCCGTCCCCCCAGCTCTGGTCCAAGACCTCTGCTGGCCCCACAGTCATGATGCCACTTGGGAGTGATTGGCAGTGCAGTCAACGAACTTTCAGAACTAACAGGCTTGTAGTCTCACAGAACAGCAACCAGGGCAGGATGTTCTATGAATTACATCACCCACTACTTGTTTTCAACACCTTCCGCTGAAGATAATTTTGCTCCCAGGGACTCTGTCGTTAACTATCTCAGGTTTGAGTCTCACCGTAAAGCCATCCTTGGTGGCCACACACCGAAGATAGTTTTATACCTTTAAAATTGTAATTGATTGTGTTCGCCGTCTGGACTTATTCTTCAATTACCCAAAGGTATTTTTGCCAAGTTGTACTTTATGTTCCCAAGACGGATGGTGACCCATTGTGTTTGGTTTTTGTGAATAATGTACAAAGATTACGATCTTTACGTAACAGTTAACGTTAACAGTCCCTGAAGTTGAACTAAA